TGAAGATCACCAGTTGCCTAATGAGACACAGCAAGAGCAACAGCCTAACACTGCGTGGGATCCTGTTTGTAAGGCTCTGATAGCAGTAAGTGTCTTTCCTTATGGCCTTCCATCATCGACCGCGTAATCTCTGCTTCATGCTGTCTCATTTCTTCTTCCGTGCGTTTTTCATTCCAGGCAGACTCAGAAGATCCAGAAAGAAGCACAGACGGATTTAAAACTGGAACGTATGCCTTCATGGCCTTGGAATCGGAGACGCCCGACTGCGCCGCCGCAGTGAGCCACTGGAAGGACGCCGCCAGCAACTTCACCACAATCCCTCCGGCGAAAACTGAAGAAGAAAAGGATATCTACGAGAAGCAGCATAGCGTTTCTTTCGTTGCTATGTACAACCCTTCCGAGAATGCTGCTGCTGACTGCCGAGTCGTTACTTGCACTCTACCAGCAGCTTCCGAACCATCAACAGGAAGCTTCCGGAACAGTGGGGAAGACAAGAAGGGCTATGCTCTACTGTGCATGACGACGCCTGAAGCCCTAACAGACACGAAGGCTCCCTTCACGTAAGTTGGCAACATTTCCTGCAAAACGATAGTTGGCTACAGTGCTGGGCTTGTGGATGCGAATACAGTGTTGTCTTGTATTCACCTGTTGGCGAATTGCGCGCAGCGAAGAGCAGTGGAACAAGATCAAGGCATCCCTCACAGGCTCTGCTTCTGCTGCTGCACCGAGTCTGATTATCGTTGCTATTGCGTCCCTCGGCTTGTTGGCCCTTTAAAGCAGTGATCTCTCCGCGGCAGCCGGCGGCTGCCGATGCTATTCAAGCACAGCCGCTTTCCGCAGTGTCTTACTCACATTTTCCTTCCTTCAGAACAGGAACTCTGACTGGCGTGTACAGCTTAAGCAGGTGCTTGCTTCCTGCTGCATTCACAGGATTGCGACAATCGACGGATTTCAGAGCCAGCCATACTCCTGGTAACTGGCGTTGGATTTGTGCTGCACTCGCCACTAATTGACACTCCTTCTCAGCATTTTTTACTTATATGGGCAGCAAATGCTTGCCTCTATCGGCTGCTTTTGTTCCGCAGACATGAGTCCTACGTACTTTTTCTTTTTACCGGTCTAATTGACCGGCATTATGACTCTCCGGTTATCGATTCAGCACCCTGTGCGTCACTGCAAGCTTGCGCAGGTGTTGCCGCACGTCTATGTGTGCATACCCCCCTGCATGCGTGCGTGTTGCGGACGAGGGCAGTAAGTCTAGCGACCGAACGCAGTTCGCACTTTTTAGGCTGGGGAAGTACCGAGGGGAAGCTAAAGAACTTGATAGGAGAGTGGCCGTCTGTAGCATTTGCCATTTCTGTTTCCGTGTGCAAAAGCCTTGAAAGCGTCGACGCAGGGCAACTCCGCCCCCCGTACGACGGGTCCCCACACAACTCCCTGGACCACGGCGGGAAGAGCCGAGAACCACTGTTTCAAGGCCTTGTGTAGTGAAAACGTTTATTGGTTGCTCAGTCAACTTATGAAGAGTTGGTACATGGGCATAACATGAATCGACCACTAGGGACCTCGGCCCTCCGTATCCCCGATTCACCTAGCATGGCTGGCATTTCCGCTGGCGTTTCACGCCGCGTTCAGCGGCGACTGGGGAACTTTGTGGACAATAATTCTCGAAATACCTCATTAAAGTATTTTTAACAACAACGAGGTCTTATACTGAACTCCACCGTATAAACAGAGTGGCCACATTTCGGGCTGAATGGGCCAGTCGCAGTCCGCTGCGTCGCCGCATCGTCCTGCGCACACACTGCATAGCATATTGTTAGGCCTGCGCTTGAAGCCCCTCGAAACTTTCCCCGTTATTCTCTTTTTCTCGTTGACACATTCAATTTCAACACTGAGAGAATGACGGCCCTTAAACTTTTCTCGCTCGCCTCTGCGTCTGCCTTCCTGATGGCCAACGCTGTCCATCAAACCGCAAAGCAAAGCCAATTGACACCGAGTGAAGGATCCGCAACCTACACTGTAAATCTCGGTATGGCGGCAAATATTTGGTTGCTGGGGAGGGTTTCAGTCTTGTGGTTCTCCGGAGCAAAAGCGTTGGAGGCGATGAGTTGTGCTGGTTGTTCAGTGGCGCTTGGGACCAAAGAAGTCCTTCGAAGGGCATTAAATTGTTCCAACCCACGTTTGCAAGTATCCGTATTCATACATTTGGGCTTCGGATGTCTGCTTTGTTCGTTTTCATGCAGGCAAAACTCCAGTGTGCCTCGCCGAAATCAACAATGCCCGTGAAGCAGCTGGACTCGCACACTTCAAAGAGGCTACCGATGAAATGTGGCCTACAAGTGGACTACAAAGGTCGCAGCAGCAAGCCAACCCATGGGATCCTGTTTGTAAAGCTCTGATAGCAGTAAGTATCTTTACGTTCCGACCTTCCCCCTTCGACCTCCTGTCTCTACTTCATGTTTGACTGTTTCTTCCTGCGTACTTTTACCCCTTCAGAAAGACTCAGAAGAAGAAGAAACACCAAAGAACGCAGGCACAAGTGAATTTAAAAGTGCTACATATGCCTTCATGGCCTTAACAACGGACCAGGCGGACTGCGCCGCCGCAGTCGACCACTGGAAGGACGCCGTCAACAATTTCAGCTCCCTCCCTCCATCGAAGGCTGAAGACAAAGAACTCTACGACAAACCAGAGAACGTCTCTTTTGTTGCAATGTACAACCCTTCAGAGAGTGCCATTGCTGACTGTCGAGTCGTTACCTGCACAGAAACCCCAGCTAACCCAGACCAAGCCGAATCCTTTAGCTCGCGGAATAATGGTGAAGCAAAGACAGGCTACGCTCTACTGTGCATGACCACTCCTGACCTGATGACAGCTACTAGTCCTGCTCCCTTCTCGTAAGTTTTATACCAACTCCTGCAGTGTAACAATTGCACAGAGTGCTGGGCATGTGCCTGCGACTGCAATGTTGTATGCTGCTTATCTGTTGAAAAACTGCGTGCAGGGAGGACCAGTGGAGTAAGATCAAGGCATCCCTCACAGGCTCAGCCTCAGTCGCCGCCCCGAGTCTCATTGCCTTTGCTATTGCTGCCCTTGGCCTTGCTGCCTTTTGAGGCAGTGGCCTCTCCGTCACACGCGCCGGTTCCTGATTCCATTCAAGGAAGACCGCGCTTCGCAGCGCCTCGTTCACATGTTCGCGCCTTCAGAACAGACCTGATGACAGACAGACGTTGGCGCCTTCGTCAGGTGTTTTTTCCCGCTGCTTCGCTACGCATGCGGTTATTAAGCATTTTCAGCGCACACCCCTACATTTCAGTGTTGCGCCAGTCAGCCTTGCGCTGCAAGTGCCACTAGTTTACAGGCCTTCTCAGCTTTTTTCTAACTCTATTGGCGCTAGTGTCATGCGCTATCCGCTGGCAGGTCTTCTCAGCCCTTTTTCATTTCTCTAGACAGCAAACGTTTGCCTCTCTAGACTGATTTTGTTTCACTGGCCTGAGTCCTACCTACTGTTTCCGTACCGCTGATGAAATTAATGGGCAATATGACACGCCCGCTATCGATCCAACGTATCATGCATAGCTACAT